GGCGGGGGCGCACTGTCGGACGACGCGCCACCACCAGAAGCGGTCTTGGCGGCCTCACGCTCACGCCAGCTGGGCTTGTTGCCGGCGAGGGCGAGACGAGGCGGGCCTCCGGCACTGGGGCGGTCCTCTGAACGTTCAGGGCGCTCAGAGCGCTCAGCACGCTCGGAAGGACGCTCATAACGGTCAGAACGCTCGGGGCGCTCGGAACGCTCCGGGCCACGGGATGGGGGAGCGCGAGCAGCAGGGGCGGCATCGGCGTTGGCGGGGGAGGCGGCCTTGTTGGCGGCCTCGCGCTCGCGCCACTTTCCGGCACCGGGCAGGTTGAGCGGGCGACGACCCTCGGGAACGGAATCGGTGCCACGCTCGGGAACGCGGGAAGGTGGTGCGGCCCGCTGAGACTCTCTCTCGGCCTTGCGACGGGCCAGGGCCTCCTCCTCGCGTCTCGCCTGGAGGGCAGCCTTCTCGAGACCCTCCTGGCGCTCTTGCTCGCGCTGCTCCTTGAGGCGCTGCATCTCGGCTCTCTTGGCCTCGGCACGTCTCTCCTGCTCCTCCTTCTCTTTGGCGGCACGCTCCTCGGCCTCGCGGAGGACTCTCTCTTGCTCCTCGCGCTCGCGCTTCTCGCGGAGCTTGCGGTCGCGATACTCCTTCTTGCGAGCGGCGATTTGCTTCTCCAGCTCCCTCTCTGCGTCTCTGCGGCGCTTCTCGAACTCGTCGCGGCGACGCTCGTGGAGGTTGGCGCGGAAGGACTCGTACTCGGGCATCAGGCGGGTGAGGCGGTGCTTCAGCTCGACGCTCTCCTTGTGCTTGATCTCGGCCTCCTTCAGGGTCTGGGCCTTGACAGCCTCGTAGGTCGCCCGGTCCTGCTCCGTCTGCTTCTTGTAGTCCTCGGGAAGCTTCTTGGCCTCCTCCTTTCGGAAGGCACGCTCCAAGTGGTCGATACGCTTCCAGACGATGCGGAGCTTCTCTGAAACGTCGTTCTTCTCACGCTTGAGCTGCTCTAGCTTGATGGCATGAATGGCACCGGAATCGAGGTTCTCCAAGTTGTCCATGTCGATGTCGATCGTCTTGTTGCCAATCTTGAGGTCGGCAATCTGCTTCTTCAGCTCCTCCTTGCGGACGCGGTCACGCTCGGCCTTCATGCGCTTCTCTTCGCGCTCCCTCTGCTCGGCGGCGAGGCGCTTGTCCTCGGCCTCCTGGAGCAGCTGCTCACGAAGACGCTTCTGGCGGGCATTCTCTCTCTCCTTACGAGCCTGAGCCTCAGAAGCCTCCTCCTTGCGCTTGTGGATGACCTCCTTTCTTGCAAGAATGGAGTGGTGCTCCTGCTCGGCACCGGCACGGGCACGCTCCAGAGCGGCTTCCCTTGCGGCAACAAGGGATTGGTTGTATGTAGGGTCGATGTAGAAGCAGGTAGTGTGAAGAGACTTAACGAGGCGGGTAAGCTGAGAGCGGACAATCTCAGAGGGGGTGCTCTGGAGACGCTGGACAGAGCTGCCGTCGGCCTCAGCTGAGCCAGCAGAAGATCCAGCGTGGGCAGCCTTGGCGGAGGAGAAGACATCATTGTCGAAGCTGAGGACACCGGTGGCGTGGTCCATGCGAATGGCCAAGTCACCCTTCTTGTTACCATTCATGATGAACTTCTCAATGGTGCCGCGAGTAACCTGGAAAGGCTCGGGGAACTGAGCAAGCTTCTCAACAAAGGCCAAGTCAACAGTCTCGTACACCTGGGAGAGCTGCTGGAAGAGTCTGGTGAGGATGACCTGCTGCAGAGGCAGGATGTACTTCTCCATCTCAGCATCGTCACCGATCTTGGTGAGAATAGGGGAGATCTTCTGGCAAATGGAGAGAGGGTGGAAGTCGACCTCGAGTATGTTGTACAGATCGCGGATCTCAGGGCGAGCGCGCTTCAGCATCTGCTTAGCGAGGGCATCGCGGAAAAGGCCAGCACGGGTAGGGGCCTGGCCCATGCCGAGCAGGTGCGTAAGACGGGCGTTCTTGTTCTTGCGAGACTCATCGAAGTCGACCATGGCACCGCGGGAGCGGGTGGTGCTAATGACAGGGATGGCGAGAGCAGACAACAGCACGAAAGAGGCGGCCTTCTGAAGGTCGTTTTCGGTAGCCGGAGGGTTGTCAGCCTTCTTGCCTTGTCCGCTGGCAACGACAGCGGCGGACTGGCGGAGAAGGGTGTAGTATCTGGACCAGGCGGCGGCGTGGAAAAGGTAGTTCTCGCCGACAAGGAAAATACGAGTGAGCTTCTCGTAGTAGTTGGCCATCATGATGTTCTTGGGAGGGCGCTTGCTGAGGTTGAGGAGAGTGTGGATGTCCTCAACGGAGCGGAAGGCCTCCTGCCAGAGCTCTAGCTCGACGGCAACGTTGAGCTGCTGGAAACGGGTCTCCAGGTGACGCTGCAGGGTGTCGGGGTCACTGAGGTTGATGGCGTGCATCTGCGCAGAGTACTTGGCGGCAGTCTGAACATGGTTGCGGAGCAGCTCGCAAAGTCTGCGGAACTCGGTCTTGCGAGTGTACTTCAGGCAGAAGTCGAAGGCCTGCATGGCAGTGCTCTGGTAGAGGATCTCGAGACGGGCATTGTTGCGGAGAATGTCGAGAACGGTGCGGTATGCCTCCCAGAGGAACTTGAGCCACGGGGTGACGATGGCGCGGTCGGTACGGTCGCGGGACTGCTCGCCGGAGACGGTGGCAAGGAGGATGGACTCGGGTGTTTCGCTAGCCTCCAAGTCGTCGACGTTGGTGGTGGAGGTGTTGGCCTCGATGCTGGACTGGACCTCATCGGCCTTGGCCTGGGCAACGGTGACCTTCTCGGCGGCGAGCTCGATGAACTTCTTGAGAACCAGCTACGCATATCCCTGTTAGCAACGGTTGCCCTAACCCATTTCTACGCCGGCGAGAGGGCTTACCTCGATGGTGCCGATGTTGGTGTTCTGGCTGATGTTCTTGTACTGGTAAAGGGCATCCTTGGCCAGCTTTCCCTTCTTCTGTTCGACGGAGAGCTCCACCAACAGGAGCATCACCGGCTCCAGCGACGCGATGGGAACATTTCGGCTTCTCTTCGAGGTGATGTGCTCGTGGAGGAGGGTGAGGGCGGCCGGGACTTGGTTGACGCCGATGAGCTCGTGAGCACGCTTGAGGACGTTCTCCGGCTTCTGGTGAGGTGGAGGAGGCTATGGCTTCTTGTCAGTACTTCAGTTCGACAACAGCAGCAAGCAAGATGACGCCCCGTGATAGCAAGGTCGGAGAGGGGTAGCGTCAAATCCATGTGGGAAATTTTTGGGCAGGCGGGCCCAGAGGTTGAGAAAGCGAACAGAGGAACTCACCATGATGGGCAACCTCCTCTGCGGGAAAATACTATTCTCGAGAGGGTCCTTGGTTTGAGGAGTTGCAGCGCAAGCCTTTTCGTGCGAGCGAGATATTGACTTGGCTGTCGCTCGGTGCGTTGGCGTTGATGCTATACACAGCAAAGACGAATTTTTCAATTTCGTGTGTGGCCGCTATGCGAGTCCTGAGGGGCTCCGAACGTCCGTGCGTTGTGCGAAACGGAAATCACGTGATAAGAGATTATGTCAGCCGAGGCTGACTGATTTACCACTGAAGGTTTGCTGCACCTTCCCGTCCCTCAGTTCACTGCTGTCGTCCCGTCCCAAATTATTGGGCAGGCTAGGACTGAGGTACCTCCGATGTCATTTGTTGTCCCATGGCTCAATTCCGTCACGGGAACGAAGTCGCCGATTACACTGTTGAGATGATGTCCAATTCGAGTGAACATTGCGCTTTCCGTTGCACCAAGTCTCTTCGAAACCTTCCTTCCCGTCACTTCACTTGATAGGTCCCAACCGTGATTTTCAGACTTATTTGCCAGCCTTGTCGGTTTCTAGTCAAAAGCCTCCCCGAACTTTCTTTAATCCCGGATACGGACGGGGGCATGCTCCCGTTGTGCTCCACCGAGACCGAGGTAGATGGCGACTTCACACACTTTTTTTCGGCAGAGCGGGAAGATCGAGAATCACCGATCTTGAATCGAATCTCCTCACTTCCAACTTGCAGGCACAGGGGACATGTGCATAATTATACATTCGTGAACGGGTAGGGCAGCAGTATGGATAACTTCCTCGGACAGGCTTGTAAGTTACGAGTATCTTCTGCGTAAGTATAAGCGTGTCGTCACTTCGGGTAAGCTGGCAAAGAATTCGCGTTGGACAAGACGAGAAAAGGACCGATGTTAATCGGTACATCTCTTATGAATATTCCCGATATAGAGCATGGCGCCGTGGGCATCTCTCATGAGCGTGTTCTTTCAGCTAGCCCCTCGGCAGCTCTCCGTTCTTTGTCTGGCCGGAGGGCCAAGGGTCGTCAGCCCAACTGAAAACGTCATGAGGTAGAGTTCCATGGCACGTCTCAATGTTAAAAGCAAAAATGTCGTTGACACCCTATCATACATACGACGGTCCTCGTGAAAACTTCGCGACATCTATTGGCTTCGGCATCGAGGCGAGCCGGCTAGAGAGTGCCGCACGATATATGGGAGACTTCTGTGTAAGAGTCGGCAGTGCAGAGTCAAAGTCTGATCGAGATGCCGGGTCTTGGTATGGCAGTTGGGCACGGGAATCGCAAAAGAAAGGGGAGAAAAACGAAGGTCAAATGTTGGGTTCGCCACACCTGATGCCCAAGATGTGCAGCTCATTCATCGTCATCAACCTACCTACACCACATGCTGCGACTTGGAGTACTCTGTACAGTCGTGGTGTCGCGTCTCGTGCTCGTCGTCATGACTGTATCCGTGTTCTATGGGCGCAATCGGGGTACCGGCCAACTAGGGGAAACCCAAATATGGGAGATTGCCCGCTCCGGCCAATTTCCAACCAATCCCGCCAATGCTGGTCTACAACAGATGGGGCCCGTGCGCCAAGTCGCTTCTCTACGTACAATTTCAGCATTTCTTGTGAGGCGACTGGAACCTCAGCGAACACCCCCGCCGGCGCCGGGTCCAGTCACCCACCCTTGCCGACCCGTCCGCTGTCCAATCCAAAAGCCACAATGATGACTAAGGAGAAGAAAGTGGATGTACCTTTAACCGCTTGGAACACACTGTCAGGTACCACACTCCACCCGGGGGAGGGTGCTGCCAACAGCAACGCAAACGCACTTGACCTGCAGCAGTGCAGCATGCAGCCTGTACAAATGCACAAACATGCACACAAGCACACACAGGTACTGTGCAGTAGACCCCAGGATGTAAACCTGTGATGGTCTGGCAGCAGCTGGCAAGTACTCTCGCTTCGGTTCGCTCCATAAAAACCCGCGCGCGGTACTCCGTACAGCAAAGATGCAATGCGGCTCGGTACCCTCCAGGGACGGGGCGGTCGTTGCTTCCATGGCGCACCTGGTGGCCCTAGCGCAAGAAGGTAACCTTGCGTCCATTGACCTTTGACCTTTCCTTTCACGTTAGGGGAACCTTTCCCAAGGGCTCCGCAATCCAATCCAATCCCAGCTTTCCTAGTCCCAGTCCACAGTCCCAATTCCCAGTCCCAGCCCGTCTCCCAGACACTAGCAGTACGTGACTTCCCTCCCGTCCTCTCTCTCTCACCTACTCAATTCCCAATTCCCAACTGCACCTGCGGCTTGCCTGCACCTACCTACCTCTACCTCTACCTCTACCTTTCCTTCCACTCACTCCCTCCTCCTTCCCCGTCGCCCGTCCCGTCCTCTCCTTTGCTTTTCCAAATCCCAACCCATTATCCGAGCAACCAACCTACCCATCTCTTCCAACACTCGTAATCCTCCCCCCCAAATCCAATCACCCCCGACGTTCTTTCCTTTGTCGATTCGCTTCGATCGAAACCGGCCTTGATCACTCTCTCAATTCCCCCGCGGTTCTCGCTGCTGTGAGTTTTTTCGCCCCCCTACTGGCCATTTAAATCCTCCCCATCCCGCTTCCGATCCTGAGCTCGTACCACGGGGTGGTGGGAAAACGCGGCAACCACCGCCAAAGCGGAGTCAAAAGAGGGAAACTTTAATCAAACTGACACGATATGCTCTCTCATCAGGAACGCTCTTCTCACAACACCACCACCACCTCTCCTACCACCGCCGAATCATCTGCTGTAGCCACCACAGCCACTTCTCCCACCTCTCGCCAGCGGCAGGATCAGGTCCAACAGCCTCGTTCCGACGACAAACAATCACGACGACAACCCGCCGCCGCTGAACCCTCTGTCGCCGCCGCCGTCGCCTCATCCTCCGCGACACCTTCTTCATCAAAGTCTCCAGCCCCCCGATCCGCGACAGCAATGCCTCAATACACCTCCCGCGATGTCGGCGACCCGTCGCAGATCAAGAAGAACAAGCAGTCGATGGCCGACCTCAAGCTGAGACGATTGACGGAACTCAACAACCGCCTGCGCGAGGATCTCGAAAGGGAACGGATTCCGGTCAGCAATGCTTCTAAGAGGTAGGTCTCGGATTATCAATCATCATCATCGATGCAAATCAATGCGAACAAACAGCCATTGATTCCATCGCGAACGGGCGAATCAGCGACTAACTCACATCATTCTAGCATCATTGCCTACTGCAACAGCACGAGGGACTACATGGTTCCATCGGTTTGGGGCGCTGTCCCCCGCGGCGAAGACCCCTACGCACCACAACAAAGCGGCGGATGCTGCTTGGTGATGTAAAGCAACGTATATTATGGGTTAGCGATGTTGATATCGGAACAGTCGATATGCTCCGATCGGATTGTCATTTTTCTATTTTACGCGTGGAATACCAAGACCCCCGAGGGCCATCGGGAATGCAGCAACCTTCCGTAAACAGCGAACGATCGCTTCTTCTCGAAGAACCGGAAAAGAAAAACAGAGGACACCTGCTGATTATTCTTTTACGCGGTCGTGGAATCATCGGGATCCCAAAAAAGCCCTGGACCAGCTTGGAGTCGAAGAGAAAAAGCAAACAAAAGTTTCCTGGGTTAGGAAGGGTTTAGGGGGGTTCTACAATGCCAACCAAACGACAGATACCTTTGTCCCCTTTGACGGATCAAAACGAAAAGCCACGGACAGCGACACGGGTTAGTAATACTTGAGAGAGTGAGTGAAAAAGGGAGAAGCGAGCAAGCTCCGTTAGCGGAGGAGATGGGTGAGAGGAAGCGAGGGGAGATGCTTGAGAGTTGAAGAGGCAACGGACCCCGCTACGATAATGCTTCTATGTTGTTCTTTTTCTGTTGTTATTGGGAGGTTGTCGTTGGGGAGGCAGGGCTTTTTGGCGGGCAGCTCTTCAGCATGTAATAATTCTCTTGATGTCCTGTACTCTTTTTCCTTCTCGGGTCTCCCCCTTGTCCACTATATTCCGCACCGAGTGTGTGAATAGCTTCAATCCATCAAATTCCCTGGTCTCCCCGAAAAAACAAGATAACAATTCGAGCAATTACCACGGCTTACGGTCGCGTCGTACTTTGATGTCAGGGGGTGCTTGGTGCCATGCAGTTGATCGATCACTGGGGTAGGTAAGAGGCGGATAGACGGCGGCAATCATGGACAGCAATTCGATTAACGATGAATCAAACAAGAGTGGTGTGCATGTTACGGATACCTGAAGCCTGAAGGGGGGTTTCACAAGAGGGCAGATCACCAAAACCCTCCTCAAGCCTGCATCTCGCGCGCCCCCCGTGGAGCCACGAAATCACTCGCATCTGCGGTGGTCCCATATCAGGTCATTTCGGCCAACCAATGGCCGCATTGGCGGGACCCCGAGGGAAGCAGCCAATCCAATTTGGGGGGAGGTTGAGAAGCAGCGTGACCTTACCTTCAGGTATGGTTTACTACCTCACAGGCTTACGCAAAAGTAATAGGAACTCCCGTGACCTGAGCCAGATTTCCGCATCGCATCTCCGAAATGATGGCCAACCCGATCGCGTATTGGTAAGCAAGCGAGAGGGGGAGTGAGGGTGGTGACCCAGAGTCCTGGAAGTAGGGAAAGACGAGAGACATTGCAAACCAGTTCACACCAGGGCCGTTTACCTTACGGATACCTAGAGAGACAGGCAGACTTCTGGGGAAAAAGCAAAGAGGGATTAAAAACGGGAATGGGGGACAAGCTTTTTCGTGTGGTATTTTTTACTCCCCCTTCCTCGCCTTGCGGTCTTTCTGGGGGGGTACGATTGGGCTGGTACCACTTCAGGTCACAGGTGAGAGAGCAGGAAATCTGAGACATATGCAGCGTCCCTTTTTTTCTCTTTCGTTCTTGTCCTCACCTCCATTCTCTCACTGTGAAATTATGAATAAAGCCAGATTTATGGATTCATGACCCCCTGCGCCCTGGCCGAGCGAGACTGGGGGATGAATCGTTCGGCGCCGACTTTCGAAATTCTGGGATTGGATCATTGGATGCCGATGGGGGGGAGGTTACCGCACTCCGCCTGTTCGAGGCCGAAAAGAGCTACAAGAGCACCAGCTTTCATTTCCCGAGGATTACATCGGGCCTGGCCCGCCTGTCAACTCATCTTTTTTCCCCTTCGCTTCGAGTCTTCGGCTACCGGGGGGAGGGGGGGGGGGGGTTTAAGAAAGAGTACAGTAGTGGTGGGACCTGTGGTTTTCTCTTTGGACCGTCGGTGAGCCGCCATTGCCAATTGGAGTTGTTGTATCCGTAGCCTGTACTGCGTACGGCGCTCGATAAAACGCTGGTTAGATGAGGTTCAACGTTCTGGTTTGCTTCATACGGTGTTTCACTGTGTCCAGATATTGAATGATGGCTACTACTACTTCTACTGCTCTCCTTCCCCCTTTCTCCCTCCCGCCATCGCCGCTGCGACACCACAAATCTTTCCTTTCAATTCTGGTCCAAGGTATCTTTCTGGTTTTCGTTGCCGGACGGGGCTCCGTACTCCAGCACCCCCTGTTACTACGCCCCTATCCCGAGGTTGCTGCTGTACCCGAGGTGGGTGATAACCGTCCTCTCCTCCTAGCAAAACCCCCAAGATCAAGGCGATGTGCCCACCGCCAGTGTTCTGCAGACGTTGGGGCTTTTGCAGGCGCTGGCTGTATCACTATGCAGCAAGGTAAGATACCTCACCTCACGGTCAGGAAATTCCGGAAACCACTTTCCACGGGTCCCACGGGCACACACGTGTTTCCAAAAGTCTTCCCGGCCCCGAAGTTACGTGTGCGCACTTTATGCACACGTATCCGTACCTTACCTTGCCCATTCTACCTCGGAGTCGACTCAGGACCGGCTTTTCCCAACGTCGTCAGTCGAGAAAGGGCCCGGCGCGCAAGCGCGTCCCCAAACAACACACACTGTTTCCGCACGACTCACTCCCCGTCTGGTGTTGCTATTTTGCAGCACAGGACAAGTCCGAAGAAAAGCCCTGCCGGCCCTGATCCCTGGTGCTGGCCCACCCGTACCTGAATTGCTGCAGGGCGTTCGAGCCACTGGCTGCCACCGACGTGCTGGGTTCTGGGGGGGGGAATGTCCTGGGAGGGAAGTTCATATGCGGGCCCGTTATTCTCTCTTTTCTGGCGTGTGCCTGGCTTTTCTCTTTTCGTTGCTCAATGGGATGTGCCGCCAGATGGTGACGGCTGAGAGCAAGGCTCTTGCCGGCTGGCTGCTGCATCACCGTCCTTCCGAGTGCGAGTTCGGATCCGAACAGTTTCTTACAATAGGTCCCTCCACTCCAGCTCCCCGTGCACACTTCCGCCGGGTCCTTTTTTGTTTCGTAAGCCGGCAAGTGTGGCTTTTCCATTTCCCCTCCTCCAGTCTCAATGGAACCAGCGCCGGCATGGCCAAAGCTTCCTGCACGCTTACCTGATCATCAGAGGAAAGCTAGGATGGCACCAACCGCCCCTCCTCCTCCCCCCTCTTCCCCAATCCGAAAAAGTACTGGCTGGCCGCCAATGACGCAGGAAGAACAAGAGAATAGACGCCATTTCCCACACCATCCCATCTCTCCTCGTGCAGCCTACCTAATCACTACAACGCGGAGATCACAAAGGTCTGCACAGTAGTCTACTCTCCTGTTCCTTGTTTCAGGTAACAGCAACGATCCCGAAATGGCCGAAACGTCTACCGAACCGCAGTCAGCGTCGACATCAACGCCGCTGCCCCGCATCGCGATCCAGTTCTGCACTCAGTGTAAGTGGATGCTTCGCGCAGCATATGTAAGTACAAGCCAAAGGGCAGGAGGAGGAGACCTCACTGCCGGGTCTTTTGCCATCCATCTTTACTTCCTGCCTTTCCTAATTTGTAAACACCTACCTTTATCTGCCGCAAGGTAGGATACACTTACACAGGTCCTACCTCTATACGGGAGGTGGCCGTTGATGACCTCATCCTCGGCAACATCCCTGACACCCTCAACCTCCTTTTCCAACCCCTCCAACTCGTGCTTGGCCTAGTGTTGCCCTTTCCACCGTGAATCAAGCCCATCATCCGTCCCTTCTACCCTACTCAAAAGCCAGGTATACACAAGTCGGGAAAAAAAAAACACCTCTCTTACACCACAAACAGTTCGCCCAAGAGCTCCTATCAACATTCGGAACCTCCATCGGCGAGGTCGCCCTCCAACCTTCCACAGGCGGCACCTTCACCGTGACGCTAACCCACCAACCCGACGGCGCGACAACGACCTCCTCAACGATCCTCTGGGACCGCAAGACCGAAGGAGGCTTCCCCGAGACCAAGGAGCTCAAGCGCCGTCTCCGCGACGTCATCCAGCCCGACAGAGACCTCGGCCACGTCGACCGTAAACACGCGACGACGGATCAGACTTCAACGACAGCAACAGCAATCACACCCGAAACCTCTACCCAACAACCACCGACCCTGGCCTCCGACGCACTCGCCGCGGCGCCGACAATGACGATGCCTTCCTCCGCAGCCGCCTCGGACGTGGTCTCCCAGCTCAAGAAGCACCCCGCCAACGCAGGCCACTCCCCAGCCGGCAGCGAAACGAAGCCCACCTCCGAGAGCAAAGAACACAATGAATCCTCTTCTCTAAGCGACGCAGCCCGAGACGCCATCGGCGCAGCTCGCGCGAACAAGGGACAGCAGGCCAAGGCCGAGATCTCGCCCGCAGGCCAGCTGCCTGGCCAGCAATATGACGATCCGCCGGCCAAGTTCGACAAGGAGAAGTGCGAGGACTGTGCTTGAGAAACCCGGGTCCCTATAGATACAATCGGCACCTGATCTGGTCTAGTAGGCCAATGTATTCAGCCCTGCCCTGCTCTACTCTGGTGTAGCCAGCCTTGCTAGGCCTGGCGCGGGGGACCGGAGCGCGGGGCTAGCCGTAGGTAGCACCATGGCCACGGGATCCCAAGCTCGCAATGTTCGCCTCAACTGCTACCCCTAGGAACTTCAACATGTCTCTCAATTTCTGTTGCCCAGTGGCCGGGGAAGTTGGGGGCGGTAAGCAAGGGCTTTGGAATGCGAACCGGGATTACTAGTGATTCGGACCTGGGGATCGGCACGGACGGGAACGTCTACGCGCTATCTAGGTGGCACGCGTGGGCATGTAGCGTTTAACTAGATAACACAAAACATGCAATGCATGATTTCAAGAACTCTCTTCTCCGTCAGCGGGAGCATACAATCTTCAGTAAACACAGACAATATACACAATGAGCACGTTACTTCCGCATCCGAAAATCCGGTCAGGTTGATCAAACGTATAAAGGTTGGCTTTTTTCATTGCAATTACTAGCCGCAGCATCCTCCTTTGCGACAGAACTCGACGTGAACCTGACCACGCCGGGTCAACCCCACAGGAATGCCTAGAGCGAACTGTTCACAGAAACCATCAATTCGGAGCCGGATTGTTAGACCCCATCATTCCAAGATCGTACACACAGTGATCTGTGCAGCGATCCCCTGAACACATGTCTCAGCAACAGACCTCTGCCGACCATACGCCCCTTCTCCTCCAGCGTTACAAGAAAAGACAGAAAAAAAAAAGACCAGAGTCAATGGAGAATAGTACAAGCAGAAAAAGAAGTGAAAAGCGACACCCAACCCCCCCGTTGCCCGGCCGATGAGCAATGCCTCCTTTGAGAAACCAGAATACCAACCCCGCGACGGGCTTGCTTCTGTCTATGCCGAGTAGATTATAGTCTTACAAGTGCCACCACGACATTGAGCTGAGACACGGCCCCCTACGGCCGCGACGCAAGCTCGAGGGCACAATAGCGGATGTTCAAGTTCATATGATCCCCGTGACCACGGTGGATATTGCCAATTGGCGCCTCAGCACAATGACTTTTGGACAAGCCTTTGTGGCAGTGGCGGCTGGGGGAGGGGACAAGTATTCCCACGATGGAACAGTAAATCGAGGCTGCTCTTGGCGCGTTATTGGCGTGCAAATCACTCATTATTACACCCCTGGGTGAGTTCATGTCCACCGAGGGGCTTCGCACAGAGGCACGTGAAACGTTGTGATAGCCATTGCAAATTCCAGTGTTTTTGTGTGTTTATCTTCTGCTACCAGACAGCCGTAATTGTGAACAGTTTGCGCGGGTTGTAGTCGGTGGGTGGGCTCGGGAAGAATCGGACAAGTCGAAGAGTGGACGGATGGTGACTCAGAGGATCGAGAAGGCGGGAGGACGGTGTGAAGGGGTCGCGAGAGACCCGCGTCGGTGGACGTAAAAGTAGAGCGGTCGATATGGACGGGAGGCATTTAACGACGGCCGAACCTAAAAAGATGTGCATGTTCGTATAAACTCTTGATTTCACTTGGAAGCGGACTTCTGGGGAGAGATGACTGGTCGGCTGTTGCCTCCGAGACCACCCGGGACGTACTTTTGTTTCTTCTCAGCAGGTTTCAGAATCTGTAGGAGAGTCTCGTCAGTTGACTTGGCCGGCACAGTAGAATTTCCATCGCCGTCTTCTCACCTGGAACGAGCAGAGCAAGCTCTCGTCCACACTCATCATGGCTCCGGCATTGTCGAATTCTCCGCAGTAGTTCGGTGCACTGAACAGGGTCACGAGCTGGCGCTTGGAGAAGAACTCGTAACCGTCTTCCACGACTTGGTGGGCACGGCAGATCAGATCCATATCGTGCTTCTGAAGGAACCGGGACACAACGTCGGGACCAAAAGTGAAGGAGACACCTCTGTCGTTTTCGCTCCAGCCTGTGATGTCCTTGTCGGGATCAGACCACAACAGATCGCAGAGAAGACCGCAATCGGGAATCTGTGGTTTGAAGAATTAGTCAATAAGTAATTCGAGACGAGGCCAGCAATTGGCTTCGTGAGGGGTGCAAACATACGTCAGTGGGTCGCATGACGCGGCGAATCTGCTCCATGGAGTTCAGATCAGGGCTGAGACCGCCGTGCATGGTGAAAATCTTCTCGTCGATGATAGCGGCGATAGGCAGGCAGTTGAAGCAGTCCGTAAATGTCTTCCATAGCTTGATGTTGTAGCGGCGCTTGCACTCGTCGTAGAAACCGTAAATACGGTTGATGGAGGCGCACTCGTGGTTGCCGCGGAGAATGAAGAAGTTCTCGGGGTACTTGATCTTGTAGGCGAGCAACAAGCAGATGGTCTCGAGGGACTGCTTGCCACGATCGACGTAATCACCCAGGAAGAGATAGTTGGCCTCGGGAGGGAAGCCGCCATACTCGAAGAGACGCAGCAAGTCGTAATATTGTCCGTGGATATCACCGCAGATCTGGGTGAGGGGTTGGCGTCAGCAGGTCTGTGCAACTCGGGGAAGGCAAAGCATGGGGAAGTAAGTTGGCCTACCCAGGCCCAAAGATTAAGCGTACCTTGATGGGAGCCTCAAGCTCGAGAAGAATGGGCTGGGAGATGAAGATCTCACGAGCCTTGGTGCAGAGGTAGCGGATCTCAGCCTCGAGAAGCTGCACCTGCTTACCGGGACGGCTTCCACGAACCTCGAGGAGGCGGTCGATTATCGAGTCAAGGTCGACCTCATGTTGGTCCGCCATCTTAAATCCTCACCAGCCAGAAAGATGGCCCGCTGATACCGAGGGGATTGTTCGCGACTGCGGCAAGCAAGAGCACTGAAGGGGGGGGGGGTGTACTTTGCAGCGGCCAGAGACAAAGAATGCCCAGTTTACGGGAACGATGCACTTCTCGTGTCTGTTCAGAAAAGACGCGTGGTCAGTATGCCGCAAGATGGTAAAATACTTGTTTAACCGCTTTGTTTGGGAAGGGCGCGGGGAGGTTGAGGGCAACGTGGTTGTGAGTAGGCAGGAGAGGGGAAGCGCGAGCGGGACAGGGCGAAAGACTTACGGCGAAGTGATCTCAGCTCTTGTAGGCCTTTCTTTCCGAGGAAGAGAAAGCGGCGACAGAAATGTTCGACGTTATGGATTATTCGCAGACCAGAAAGTGTGGTAGCGTCTCGCGTCGTCGTTGAGAAAATTTTCGTCGTCCCTGTGCGGGATCGAGTTCGCCTGTATGGGGTGGGATTCGCCGCTGGAGATAGGGCCGTCTGTTGATAGCTTCGCCTTTTTTTCAGCAGGTGCCGCTCTTGCCGTAAACAGCGATGCGGAGTTCGTCTGTTTGATTGATCGTCGTTGTTTTGAATGTATTGAAGAGATGGATATCTCTAGATCGCGTTGTCGTCTTGAATAGACGTATCGTCGCCGTTGGGTCAAGAGGTGGCCTCGTGGGGGAAAAAAGAGGCTTTGGGGGGAGGGAGAGGTGAGGGTGGGTTTGAGGGGAGGATTTTCGTGTTTTGTGTTGGGCGGCGGCGGGCTGCTCGGTCGGAAAGGCAGGAGTCGGCAGGAGGAGCGCAGAAAATGGGAGAGGAAAAGAGAGAGGTGTGGAGGGATTGGTCTCCTCTGCCTGCGTCTGGGTGAGAAAAGCGTGAGGGGGGTCGCTCGTACTACAGGGGGGATGGCTAAAGAGGGATAGTGCTATGGGCACTAAGTGATCGCTGATGGGTGTGGGTGGTGCAGATATTATGGGCTCTCGAAGCGTTAAAGGCAGGCAGGACGGGCAAGAAAGAGATGCCAAACCCAGAGGCGACAGACAAAATTAAATTAGGTTGCCTTTGAGGTGAAGTTGCACTTTGTGCGAATATCAAGGATGCAAGACGGAAAACAATGTGAGACCGGGTAGGTATTATGTTATGCCTACTTATGGGGGTTTGGGTTTTCCCTTCTTCTGTTCGCGTTTCCGCTGCTTCACTATGTCGCTTGAGAACGGACAAGCGGCCTCATAATACGAAAATGAAAAGCGAAGCCGAGGATCGTGATCAGGAATAAGGCAAGGTGGAGGACGAAGAGAGAAAAAAAAATCAAAGAGAGGGAGATCTGGACGGGATAAAATTGGGGTCGTAGTACTGGTCTCGACTTTTTTTTTTCCCTCAGTCCCCGTCTAATCCGTATCTACGTTTCTTTTTTTTTTTCTTCTTTCCCTCTCTCCCATCGCGCCTGCCAACTAGGTAGGTAGATGCCGCCCCCGACTAAGGTACGTAGGCGCATCGCTCCACGTCCTCCCGCCTGCTAAGGAAGACATGCCCTCCCTCCACAGGTAAGGTAAGCACACCAGCGAGAAAGTGAAGGTGTGGTGTTTTGAAGCGTGTCGCTGGTTGGGTTGGCACATTTCGGTGCATCACCGCGTCTTTGCATCGGCAAGCGCCTCCCGTTGTCCGTTTCTCAGCACGCCAGTCGCCCGCCCGTCGACCAGTCAGGGAGCTTCAGGTTGGGCAGGAGTGGCAGGCACGTTTTTCTCGGCGACGGGAGGAATGGGAAAGCGCGACCCAGGCATGCGTAAGGTACTGACTGGTAGGGTAGGTGCGGCAGGGGGTGCCTGCCCTTGATTTTGTTCGTGTCTTCCCTTGCTTGCCTCTCACCTTACCCGTCTTGCCGGCCACGGCAACTACCGCAACACGCCTTGGGAGTACCTGCCTCACCTTGGATCAGACACATCTACATCTGTACGGCCTACATAATTTGGTTGGTTTTGACATGTTACATGAGGCATGTGCATTTCCTATCTACCGGGCTTAGGTAGGTGGCTCGCGACCATCTCAGGCTGGGACTTTTTATCTTTATCAAGGTGTTGAAGCCAGAGGGTGCTACTGGGAGATGCGCCATTAGGATTCCTACTCTATCCAAGGAAGCATGATGGCAAATCTGCCATGGCATTGTCCCTGAAGTGCCAGTCTGGGGCATTGCCCACCCGTGGAA